TCTAAAAATGCAACAAACCTCCTTCCCCAACCCCAAGAATTCCCTCTGAATAGTTATGTTGGATGAAGTCTTCCTCAGCTTTCATGGGACAAATGAGAATCCAGCCCACAAACACTGACAATATTAAAAAACTGCTGGCAGAATGGGGCCATCTATGCAAAGATTGTCTGCCTCCTTAGGGAAGTGCAGAGCCACCAGTAAACTCTCTCATGCTTTCCACACTCTATTGCAAATATGCTGTCTGGAATTTCCCATTTGGTGCCTGACCAAATACGGAATCTGCTTCCACTGTAAAGGGTTTCTGTAGGAACATTTCATATCGCCTCTAATTGTATTTCCTTTATTAACTGTTTATAAGGAGAGGTAGAGGAGACGTTATTCATCTCTACCATCCTCATCCCCACCCCAAACCATTCCTTACCACTATGGAGAGTTGTCATGATTATGGACACAGAATAGGAATACTGCCAGAGACAGCAGTCTCCTTTTTTTTAATAGGGACATGTATGAAGAGGAAAATGTACTGAGATAGCATGGCAGTCCAGTGGAACAAACCTCAAAAATAGATATAGATAGTTTAAAGGCATGGCATTATAAGAATGCTACATCATATAAAGCAAGTATCTGATAAAAAGATAATGATTTAAAAAGTAGATGTATTTACTTAATACATCTGCACTTTATTGCTAGGGACAGAAATTATACATAAACCAGTATAAGTGATTGGAAATTAGTTCAAATTTGTAACACAACAGAAGTTCAGTGCACATAAACCACCTTCAAAATGGCTAAAACCAGTTTAAGATAACCCTGGATGAATGTAGTATCAGACTTAACTGATTTATGTTAAATCAGTTTATTGAACTTCTGTCCCAGATCCTTTCCAGTTTCAAGTTAACTTACTGCCAGTTAACTTGAAGTTAACCCCAGCCTCCCAGGATACTTTGCACCTCTCCCACATATCCCCCCTCGCTGGGTGGGCAGGCTAGGTTTGGCCTAAGCAGTCTGCTACAGCTGAGCAGAGAGCATGCTCTAGCACCCCCCAGCTTCTGGCCTTGGTCACTGGAAGCATGGGGCTGCATTTCCAGAACCAAAGATTCTGTTCATTTGCTTAGAGGTTCAACCTACCTAATTTAGACTATCCTGCAAAGATTGAATCTATTCAGCTTCAGGCTTTTTAGCTGTCTGAACTTAGCCGATATGTATTCTAAGTTGTATCTGCTTGCCCATTTTACTTATATTTGTGCTGCACAACCAACATATCTAAAAAAAGATATGTATTAGATCTATGCATTATGTTAATTAAATATTATTATAAAATAATCATTATTCTTATGAAAACAAAATCAGGGAGAACACATATTGCCTTTCAGGCATAGTTTAGAAACCAAAAATGTTTGTTCCAAGCAAATTTGACATGGAGGCAAAGCAGCAACAATTACCTTTCAAAGCCATTTTCATAACACAACACAATATACAAAACCACATTTTGTAAATTTCAGTGAGATTAGTTTTAATTGTTTATGATTCAATTCATTTAACACTTTTAGTATTTTATTAGTAGTAGTATTTTATTTTATGCTAACACCTAGTGTCCCACAATATAATGGATTGACTATATATTTACCATAGACATTCTGACTCACAAAACTGAAGTACAGGATATCACATCATGACTGAATCAGTAAGCTAGTATACATATATTATATTTATTGGGGTAACATGTTAGACATGACATCTGGAGTAGCAGAAATTTAAAATCATTATATATGAACAAAAATAAAGGTGATGTGAGCATTGGTACTGTGAAATATAAGCTGATTTTATGACTACTAAGCTGCTAATATGGCTGAAAGCTTCTCTAGTAAAATAAGTGACCTTTGTGATGCTTTTCCCAAATGAATAGATATGGTATCAAACTGTCAATATATTAGTTGTATCCAAAATAAGTGACTGTTCTGAGACTTGCAATTGGCAACTCTGGGTAGAGAAAAGAACTAATCCTATAATCTTTAGAAATAAATAAAAAGGTATCTCTGGCTTCTTTGCAAGTTGTACCCTTATTTATCAGCTGACTGTCCATCCCTGTTCTATAATTACATTATTGTGGTAGCTATTTTTCAAAATTGTACCCTTTCTTTAGAGACATTCATTGCTTTAACTGGATAGTTTTTCTCTTCCTCGGTCCTGCTGTGATGCCTTTATCATAATACTCATCATGCTCTGGCAGCCACAATCTTGGGCTCCCAAGAATAGCCTCATAGAAAGGGTAAGATGAATTTGCAGAAGGCTTCTTAAATGTATTTCCCTTCCTTCCTTGCTATTGTCAGTAAAGCAATAATCCCCGCCCCCTCCCCCTCCCAATGCTGCCTTCTCCTTCAGACCTGTTGGGAGTGAGAGTGGAAGATCGGGCATGCGGGATATCCAGGTGACAGCTTTTATACCCTGCATTATCTACTGCTGCGCATGTTAATAGTTTATGTTAAATGTGATTAAATACCCTTGCTGTTGCAAATGAGTATCTTAGTAAATTAGTTTGACAGATCCTTTACTATGATTGCTTTCTCCATTTTCCTCTCTTTAAGCTAGATATCCAGAACTGTAGATGTTCATTAATATTAATAGTGGTAAGGATTCATTTAAAAAGATGCATTTGGTTTCATCACACTGAATTAATCAGACACATTTTTTAATACTTTCTTTCTGAAGTAGGGGCACGTTTTCCTATTGTCTGGATAAATGACTTAGAAGCTTCATTTTCATGAGTCATTTGGGGTAATATTTTCAAAGGTGTTTAGACACTTAAACTTACAGATAGACACTGAGGAATTTTCAAAACTGGGAAAGCAGTTCACCTTATCCTGATTTCAACAGGAATGAATTGTGTAACCTCCGTGGATGCTTTTGAAAATCCCACTCCACTTCTACTGACCAGTTTCAATGCCTAAAAATCTTTGAGAATCTGACCTTCGTGCATGGAGGTGACACAGGTTCTACTGACTAAGGATCTAGATCTAAGCACTTAAGTCACTTGTGCAAATTTTACTTGAAACACTTTACCTTCAAATGACATAGACCATGAGATACAAGAAAACTAATTTTCTGACTTTCACTAGACTAAAATAAGAAAAAGCTTGTTTTGCAAGAAGGAACTCTTCCAATTATGGTCCACACCTGTACTCTGTACTTGACTTACTGTCTATGGAAAACTACATGCTTTAATAATTATGCTACCATATTAACTAGTACTTTGCAATTAGTAAACGTATCCCATCAGTGTACATGCACTGGCAAGTTTCATCTCAATTATGATAACTAGGGACCTGCCTAATTTGTGGTGAGAGAAAGCAATTTTCACTACTTGGCCGCAGCCCGAAGAGCCAATTTCATTGTCATTTTCTGGTGGCCCTGCCCCTTGGAGCTGATTTGCAGAGAGGCCCAGGATGCAGGAGGGATGATAGGGCAGCTGCCATCTTGATGGCTGGCTACCCTTTGTGTGAAGCCATTCCTTGACTGGTGGAAAGGCATGAGGGAGATCATGCTGCCCAGCCAGCCGATGCTTCCCCCTCCAGGGCAGGCTGCAAGGTTGTGCTGCAGTGGCAGCAAGGTCCGTTGGCTTCCACTGGGGAGCCAGCATTTTATTTTTATTAGGTTTTATTAGGGGTTTGTTTGTTTTTTTGTTGATTTCCTGGGAAAATGCAGCCAATGGCATTTTTCACAGAGATCGCTGTTTTTTTTGCAGTTTCCACAAAAATTGCAAAGCCACAATTTAAGCAGATACCTAATGATCACAATTTAAGTAGGTCCCTAATGATAACTCTGTCTAGTCTGCTTGCCTCACAAATATCTTGCTAATGTATTATGTTCCCTTTAATGCTCTACTTTGCTTCATCACAGTATCCTCTTCTTGAATTCCTAGATATTAGCTTCCTGTCTGTTCCTGAATCATATATATAGTGTCTTCCCCTACAAAGTGTTATGGGATATTTCCCTCTACTTGAGATCACCCCTTTGGTCCTAAGCCAGAAGTGTCAAACCCACCTTGTGACCCTGGCCAGATCCAAACTGTGGGTCTCTTTGCAAACCAGATCCAGCCCAGTGTACAAGGAAGTGTCAGTGGAGAATATGGTGGGCGGCAGAGGCAGCAAAGCATCCAGTGGCAGTGGAAGTGGCAATGGAGCAGGTTACAGTGGTAATGGTGACAGCAGCAGCAGAGCGCACAGTGGTGAGTCCAGCCCCAGCCGCATGCCCCATGCTAGGGGTCTCTCTGGCACCACCTACCACCACTGTGCCATAGGGGCAACTCCAGCTCTAGCTCTAGCTCTAGCACAGAAGGTGCAGTGGGGCCTGCCACTGCATGCTCTGTTGCTGTTGCTGCTGTGGCTACTACCAGTGCCCCTGCATGCTCTGCTGCCATTGTTATCACCACCATTACCACATGCTCCACTATCATCATTGCATGCTCTGCTGCCTCTGAATGCTCCACTCCCACTGTCATTGTGTGCCTCCAACTTCTGTTGTCCCACTGGTAGTTTAGTGGACTGGAGAGAGCAGCTCTGCAGGCTGGATCTGGCCTGCCATATGTTTGCTACGCCTGCTCTAAACCTTTCTTCATCTCCATTTCCACTTAAAAGGTGGCACCTTCTGCCACATTGCCCTTTTGTTTGAAATAGTCTGCCTTCATCTATCAAAAATCTTTCCACCTTTCCATCCCTCTGTATGGCCTGTCTTTTTTTTTTCTCTTCAGACATTCTTATTAGCTGATGGGGATTTATTAGGTGAGGAAAGTGTGGTCACATTGTCTCCACTTTTTTCCTTTACAAAAATCCACAGATTTTTGCAACTGCCCCTTTTAGTTCGGCAGCAATTTTTATATGACAGCTGGAGTTTTCAGCTTCTCTTCTCACTGGTGTGCAAAAAGTATCTACTGAAGAAAAACACTCAATCTATATGGGGTCTGAGTTGGGGAGAACGGAGATGTGTATTGTTGTTTCACTTACCGGTTTCTGTTGCTGGAAATCCAATCGGAGATTAATGTTGCAGCTTGCTGGTGACAGTGTTTGTTACCAAAGCTGCAGGCCAGCATGATGACTTCTCGACGCAATTCTCTGCCCAGATAACAAACACAGATGCTCATCAGGTCACTTTTATAAATACACATGCTGAAATTATCCAAAAGCAATATTTTAACCCCTCTTCTAAGATAAAAGGAGCAGTTCATAGTTAATTAAACTAAGATATGAAAGAATGCTGTAACTCAGTATTTGTGAATGCCAGCTATGCATTTGTTACAATTGCAATGTTTAAATAAAAGCCATGCACCAAAATTTGCCCTCATTGACACTCATATATCCCTACTGACTTCACTGGCCCCAGGAGTTCAAATCCCAAAATCTCCAATGGAGTCAGAACTTAAATTAAAGCTTAGCAAGAACATTTCTTTGTTGTCTAAACTAAAGGAATAGGAAACTGCTTCGCAGCAGCTACCCCCTCAGGTGAGGAAATATAAAAGGAGGAGAAGGGTAGGAAGGTATCACATGCTGCTGAAGTTCTCACTAAATACTAAATGAATGCTTTACTACAACTGTCTATTGCAGAAACAAAGAAAGAAATATAACAGTACTCATGTTGATAGGGAGCTTGAATAAGGGATCTGTTTAAATTATTTGTTGGCCATCCAAGCTTGAGATACATCGATGCAACTTGTTTTAAAATATATTCCTGGAAATAAAATGAAAAAAAAAGATAAATGTATTTTCAGCTTTATATTATGACTCTTCTCACTTGAAATATCACTGACATTTTTTTCTAAATCTTTCACTTCCAAAAGGCTTTGATTTGGGTCTGCCATATTACAATGTGGACTTTTGCAATGCCCTTCTTTACTATAATGGGTGATGAGCCTACAGAAACATGTCCAGGTCCACAGCGCTAACCAGTTTAATAGTATAAAATATAGGCGCTTAGATATTGCTTGCTTAGACAGTATTTTCAACTCGTATAGAAGAGGGAAAAGTTTCTGAAATTCAGACAGGCTAATGCCTTCTCTAGCTAAGCCAATCTCAACTTCAGAATGCATATTTGAGTAATGCCTATCGTTAACATTTATAAAAGACACACTTAGCACTATGCAGTGAAGTAACTGATAGCTATGACCATCTTTATATTCATAGCTATGGCAAAACCATTACATGAGTGCAGCCAATTTATCTAATAATACTGAGCAATGTGTGTTGCATATCTACACTGGGTTATTTAACGGTACTGTATTTCAATGTCCACTGAATTCTTAATATTTTGAAATATTAATGGCAGCACAAGATAAATTTTTTATCTTACTTTCACATCTTAAAAAATAGGTATCTTTACATTCTCAGACAAATCTTATTTTCATTATATTCATACACAGTTTTCTCCCAGGGAAGTGCACAGCTTGAAAAAACAAGAATTGAAATATAAACTAATACTAGAGATCTATTTTATTTTTATAAGGCTGTGTATGTATATGTGTGTGTGTATAATCACATGACAAAAGGAATGCACAATATAGCTTTTTCCAGCAGATAAGTTATTCTGTGACTAAAGTGACTTAAAATTTCTTCAGCTATCAACTCTGCTTTCAGAGGTTTGGGAGGATCAGTGATAAAACACAATCCTGCAATGAATTTTACTATTTTTATTTATTAAAATTGCATTCTACTTACACAAGCATGTTTGGAAGTGAAAAAACAGTGACTGTCTAATAATGCTTTTTTCAGTGCAGATTTGGTCAATAGACTATAGCTGCAAATAATTCAATATAATTTTACATTACAGCTGTCTGGTTTGGAGCTAGACCCAAAGCACAGATTCATGTAGAAATATTTCAGTGTGCATCCATAATACTCTTTTTTCATACCAGCAGGTATCTAGGTATCTTTTCATAACTCTCATTTACATATACCAGGCATTATGAAATTCCTTCACGTCAATGTTTCAAATGAACGTGCAATGTTGTTGGCCATTTATTTTATGTACGGTATTCAAGATTCACTGCTATTACAAAAGCTCAGCCCAGGTTATAATTGTCAATACAGGCAATTAAAGCTTGTGTCATCAGCATTCCTTTTATCAAGCTTAAGCTTTGGTAACATTTTTTCAGGTAATGCTAAAGAGTTCATTGTGTCTATTTTGATTATCTACTGTGTGCTGCTACTGCTGTCCCCTCAGACCCAATTATGAACGGGTTTTTGACTCAATAGTGATCTAATCCTTCTTAATTAAGAGAAGTGCATTACATTCACCATGCCTTTTTGGATGGAAATAATGACTGGAAATCTTTATCTCAATTGCATGCATCCTGCTAAATTCTGCTAGCCTTCTCAGTTCTTGCTTATCTGAGGCCTCAGTATAACTACAGCCCAGCTCCAGGAAATACAGAATTTGGGATATGTGATTTTTTAAACGTTAAATAGCTTATTTGTCACAATATTTTATAGCAAGAACAGTTACCTTTGCTTGTACTAATTACATGTGCCTCAAATAGCAGTTATGTCACCGTTCAAATGCAAATGAACCAAAGCTTGACAACTGCTATGTTCAAATTTAAAATAATTAGAAAGTGAGTTAATATTCCTAGGTCAGTTACAGTATTTATCTGGGGACTAGTTCATCTCATGGAAACAGAAAAAAAGAGAATATGTTTTTTACATTGAAAATGTTGTAGTTTTCTGTGCGGTCCAATAATTTATCTAGAGGATAAAGAGCTCGGCTGGCAGCATGCCAAGGCAGAAAATCCTTCTCTTCAGAAAGGTATCCGATAATCTCCAGAGGAATACTTTGAGGCAAATAGCCAGCTCTGCACAGTCAAAGAAGTTAATATTATTATTATTTGCAGAGAAGGTACATGATGATGCAAAAAAGTTTTTTCATATGCAAATGACAGACAGAAATCATGATAAATCCAGCACATTATAATGAAATCAAAGTCATTGCTCTTTAAAACAAAACAACAAAAAAATACTTGTATATTTTAAGTGTCTGATAGATAAAAGTAGGGCCCATACAGAAAGCAGTCTGAATTAAGTCAACAACCCCAGGAATTTTGCTTCACAGAACATTTCTATAGGCCACGGGCAATTGAGAAGAACTGATTGTGAAGAAGCATTATTTAATTTCATACTTATTCTCCCCTTCAAAGTTGCTTTGTGTACTATCTACATCGAGCCATTTTGGAACAAGTTACTTTGGTATAAATGGAAGCAGCATCCAATAGCATCACGGGAGTTTAAGAATGTTTTGGCATTTTTCATAAGTGCTATGTATTTCAAAGTTTAAAAATCAGTTAAAAGTCACTCCCTACTTCCATGGCAGAAAGGGATGCTTCTAGCAAATCAAATAGTTTAACAACTTTCCTGAATTTCTGTTAAAGATTTTCATATAAAAAATTTAATCAAAATACAAGCATTTAGAAGTAGCTTTTTAAAAATTCTATACTGGAAACTTCAAGCTTCAGGTTCTTTGCTCATTTTATTTTTCTGAATTGTTTTATATCTTAACTGTCAGAGTGCAGAAACAAAATGTAACCCTCTGGCTGAAAACTTTTTCACAATACATAGACCTGTTCTCTGGATTCAAGCATTTAAATCCCATAGGAGTTCTCTACATATCTGAAAAGGAAATAATTATTCTGTTTTTATTACACACATTCAGAACTGGCACTGAATTTTGCAGATGTTGATTTAGCACAGGTTAGAGCATGATAAACCCTCACAGATTTTTTTTGTCTGGCGGGTTTATAATGCTCCCTTTCATTTCCCTCACTGTTTGGAGAAAGGTACACATACAAATAAGCAAAGAGTAAGTGTTGACTAGACCATGGATATTAGAGTATGCGAGTATTGGAGAATAGGTTCTCATCTTAAATCATGCCAATACCAATCCAGAGTAACTTGACTGATACCTTTGAAATAGATACAACCTAGGACAAGGGGTTACTTTAAAGGTACGTCCCCACACTAGTAGTTCAGAACACATAGTGCCTCAAACTCCTTTGTGGCAAAATTCTTCCTTGATCCCCTTTTTCTGTTGAAAAGAAAGTGAGTTACTGCAGCCCCTGAAAGGATTTATCCTTTTTCATACCAACACCTCACCAGCTACTCCCCCATCTTGAGTCACTTCATCTCTTCCTGAAGCTGCATTCTACCAAGAGATAGCTCTTGCTTAGCCAAAAACAAAAAAACAAAAAAAACCCCAACAAGGACGGGACACATTTTAGCTTAGTAAATCACACTGGATTTTTAAGACTGTGAGATTAGAATGTGGTCCGTAGATCAGAGTTGGGGCAGAGGAATGTTCATGAATGAGGCAAGATTTGCAAGCGTCTAGAGAAAGTAACTCACTTTGAAATTGCTTTATTTTTGTCTATTTTTTCCCAATTTCAAGAGCTAGAGAAGATTATGGAATCACATGTTGCTACAGTCCTAATGGTTTGTAAAGATGTGAAACTATAATTAACGGCACCAGGAGGAGACTGGATTGACTGCAAAGTTAAACATCTTGGAGATAATGTTTAGCAAAGAAGTAAACTAGCTTGAAGTTGTGTATTTGTAATTGGTTCCTAATGGGGTTTGTGATTATTGTAACTGATAATTTGGTTGACAAGGAGAAAGCATGGAGCAAGAAACAAAAGGAAGACTGCAGGAAAACATGCTGATTAAGGAACAGATGTATGTAGTATATTGTAGCTAGTGTTGTGGATCACACTCCTGAAATTCCATCCTTTGGAGCTAGTAACAAAAATATAATCTCAGCAGCAAAAGAGGAGAATGTGGGTGTGTCTACACATGCCATTAATGTGCAGCAATAAACTCCAGAGCTTATTGCTCTGGAGTTTATTGCTCCCTGGAAGCTCCCAGGTGTGCTGTTTACACCTGTGCCCAGACTGTAGCACAATGATCCAAGTCAGAGCAGCCCTGGCTGGCAGGGGGTCTGGTGGGTCAGCCTGGGGCACAAGGGTGCTTCAGTATGGGGCTAACTGACAGGCAGCCTCCGCACTGAAGCACCATTGTGCCCCAGCCAGCCAGGGCAGTGTCTACATGTGCATTACGGCACATGAAAAAACTCCACAGCAGGGTAGTACTTGTATTTACTGCCCTGCTGAGTTTATTAGTTTCCTGCACCCTAAAAGGGGTGCACATATAGATGCTGAAATGATTACTGCAGAGTTAATTAGCCGGCTCTGCAGTAAATGTCTCCTGTAAACATGCCCTCCGAGTGATTTATGTTATCATACTTCATGTAGAAAATAAATGTGAAGAGTGAATTCAGAGATCCCCCCTTTTTGCCATGTCTTTGTGTGGCAGCACACCTTCGGGTGCTTGCCACTTTAAGTGCTGAGTCAGCCAGCCAGCAGGTGCCTGATTGCAGCAGCCATTGTAGAACACAAGCTAGCTATGTAAAGACAGCAGTTTTACTACCGGCAGCAGGCACAGACATTGCCTGGCTGAACTGCTGCATGGAACATCTAGCAGGTAAGTGCAGGAGGCTCTTGGTCCTGGGCATGACCTAAAACTGCACCCTGACAGGGAAGGGTGGCCTGGTGAGGCTCCTAGTGGCGTGGGAGCCCCCAGGAAATGCCAGGCCAGCTACCTCCCCAGTGAAAGGCAGGTAGGGGTGCCTCAACTCTAGCCCCCACCATCTAGTGGGTAATCACAAGAGTGTGGGAGTAGTGGAGCCAGGTATGCTCGTGTGTACATTCCTGTAGGGATGTGAGATCCTGGAGACCCCCAGAGGGGATAGTGTGGGAAGTGTAGTGTGAGGCCTGGAATGGAATCGGGAGCAGGCCTGAAGGGCTGTGCATGTGAGGGGGCTTAGTAGGGCTGAGTAGGGCTGAACAGGGAGTAAACCTAAAGGAGAGTCCCAGGGGTGCATTGGGTAGGGCCAAACTGAAGTAAGCCTGAAGGCCAGTGTAAGGGCCAGCCCTGTGAGAAGCTAGTTGCAAGTATGAGGAGGAGACCCGAGGGTGGGGTGTGGTGTAGTTGCCCGGTGAGGGGCTTGGGGCAGAATCAACCCAGGGTTCAGCACAAGGCTGGGCCATGTAGAGTAGGGGAAGCCATGGGAACCGAAGGACTGCGTGGTGAGGCCAGCATGCAAGTAGCGAAGCCTGATGGCCCAAGAGGGGCCACTCAAGATGAGCAAGGGCAGTGGAGTGTGGCCCAGTAATGGGCAGTATATCAGAGGCCCCTATGACAGGGAGGTGGAGTGTAAGAGGCCTCCTATGAGAGGGGAGGCGGAGTGAAGGTAAGCATGAATAGCGCCCAACTTTGGACTGGGTCTGCTCCGGTCTCAGACAAGGGAGTAATCTTAATCTGGATGCCATCTGCAAGGCATGGACTGCGATGTCGGGGAGGTTCAGAGCTGCAGATAGTGCCCCCTGGCATCGGGGCTGGGAATGGGCAGCTTCCTGCATTATACCACCAGTTTATGGGAACAGCAAAGTCGTGGCAGACAAGACTGGGCAGACTGCCCCATAGAGACAGGTCGGAGGCCTGGCATGAGACTCCTCCCCAAGTGTGCTCCCTGTCACACTTTGGTTTTCAAACAGGAACTCCTTTGTGGCGATAGTCATCTTGGGAACTGACAGACATGAGGTGGGGGGCGGAATGTGCTTTACCAGAAGCAGTAATGTGTTAGTTAGACACGACTCTGCAGCATCTGTAGAGATCAGGTGCTTCAGCAGGATTTTTTGGTGCTTTTAGCTAAAGCTGACTGAATCAACTATTAGATAAAAGCACCAAAAAAGCCCCGCTAAAGCACCTGATCTCTACAGAGGATGGGAAAGCCAGGTGCAACTAAGGTGCTACCTCTTCTGGGCATGCGCTGGGCTTGGCATGCACTGAATTTAATGTAAAGCCAAGGGTTTTTTTGGTTCTTTTTCCACATCTGCAATCAGCTCTTTATAATAACTAGAGCAGGGGTAGGCAACGTTTTTTGGCTGGAGTGCCGAAAAAACCACAATGTCTATCTTGGAAGGTGCCAGAGTGCTGACATGTTGAAGCCTGGAGCAGCTGTTTGCAGCCTCCTGGCTACAGCCAGCCCATGGAACCTGGTATGCTTGCAGCAGGGTTTGCAGCCTCCCAGCTCCCTGCTAGGAGAAGCCTGGGCTTCATGGCTGGCAGCAACTGCTTAGAGCCTGGGCTGGCAGTGGTGTGCTGAGCAAAATGGCCTTGCGTGCCATGCTTGGCACACGTGCCAGGGGTTGCTGACCCCTGAACTAGAGACATGTCTCTCATCACCTCTTGGCTGACAACTTCCAAAACTCCTTTTCCCCCTTAATTTCTCCAGTTATGTTCTTATCCTTTCTTCCTCTCCCCCTCAATCTCCTGGAGATCTCCTCTGTAACTTGCCTTCCATGCCTATTGAGTTTCCTTCCCAGATCTCCTGTTTCTCTTATACATCCAGACACGCCAAAGCTTGCCATCTCTCCTATCTTAAACAAAATTTGAATATATAGCTTCCCTCCCACCCACTCCTACCACTAAAACCCTGGTTCAAATCCATTTAGGCTGCACAATTGTAACTTCTTTGTCTCCAGCTACCTGACTCTCTACTCTTCCATCTATTTCAACATTCAGAAGCTAAGATAGTCTTCGAGCCCCATGCTACACATTCCTTGAGGCTTTCAATAGGACAACTCTCACTAACAAAACAAAGTCATTACCTAGGTTTTACATATTTCATTGTCGTCTACACTTCGTAGATGCCACTACCCCATCTCTCACTTCTCCCCACTTACTCCCTGCGTTCTGATCATTTTCCTGGTTTTGCTGGGGGCAGGGGGAGGGGGGGTGTTCCTTG